GGGGGGGGGGGGGGGTCAGAAGACCCATCAAAGTTTTTCTCAGAGCGTGGTTTACTGGATTTCTAAGTTTCGTAAATCTTGAGAACTACCATATTTTGTAAGCCGTTTTATTCCAATGCCTCCATACCATGCCTTTTGAAGAAAAAAACATACTGGGTACAGGCTGTATAAAAACTCGTGTCTTAAGTGTCTGCAGACACGAAACAGTGGAAAGCATCGTTAATGCGTGGGGGGTCCGACTGTTGTCTTGAAAACAGCATATTATTATGCTGCCAGTAATAAAATCTTCCCAGGATGAAGGGGACAGAGCTGATCCCAGAAACGTCGATTCTTAACCAATTGACATGGCTGACAGCCTGGTAAAATTTGATTAATGTTACTCATCGTGAAAGCTTTGTATCACGCATCCAAAACCAGGCCGAGATATGGCGCAAACAATGAGATGGGTATCGGCTAGGAAACGTTTGGGGTTGCCTTTCTGTTATGCAATTTGTGGTACATTCCTCTTGAAATTCACCACAGATCAGAATTTCAAAACATCCAGAGGTCCAAACACATTTTCAGAATTTTTTTTAATTTCTATATAAAAATGTTTCAAACATTTTATGAGCAACTTTTATTATATACATATTCATCACATTATTGTCTTTTGTAATAACGACCTACGAATACTGACGCACGTTTCATGCATTTACACATGTAAAAAACCAAGTTTATTTGTGGTCAGCCGTGCACACTGCAAACTTTCTTGTAAAGTCTATCCACAACCTCCAAGCCATTTTTTTAATTGAATATACATTAAACTGAAGTGTCACGCGACAGAGATCCCTTCCCTGCCGAGTGAGGTTGTGCTGCTTTTAACTAAACCTGTAAGAAAAAAATCTCCATCACCCTTATTCAAAATATGAAAACAACATGATTCATACAAAATTTAGTCTTACATCTGTTACAGTCAGGCACTGTTTCTGAATTAGGAGAATATACAAGGGCTCAAACCTACGCGAGAGAATCAGCGTGGCTAACAAACAGAATTAGTGGTCTTCTTCGTTAATTTACCGTATTTATAAAAAAAAGATTACATTTGGGGGCAGAATACTGCACTTTAACATACAGAGCCATTTCAAGCGCCTCACTTGTTTCTCGCGACAGTCTAGCCAACGCTGCCACTCAAAGTTACCGACTCACAACAAATTGTTTTAAAAAAACAGCGCAGAACATTACAGCAGACTGATTCACAGCTGTGGAATGAATTTTCTGGTAGTGATAAAATACAATCTGATAAGAATACATTTTGCTCGACACTGATGTGTGACGTGTTGCACGACGTGAGTATTGGATACATTTTGTGCTGATCGTGTCTCACATCACGTGGCGTATAATAAAACATTTCAACATGCAATAAAACTAACAGTCTGTAGTTCCAGGCAACGGGTGAAATCATTCCCAAGTTCTACTCGTCGAGTATGCAAGTACGGATCAGAGCATTGCACACGGAATAAGGGTCGCAATTTGACGATGGCCGGCGATCTTCCAGGTAACCTCTCTTGTCCTCAGCAACACCGCGTGGGATACGAATACTAGCACCACGGTTGGCAACACCTGAAATCACAGTACCAACATAATCAAACTTCGAAGTTCTCAAAAGACACAAAACGAAATTACGTGCTTTGACGTTTAAAGCGGAACTTACCTGCAGAGAAATCGTGGATGGAAGAGGTTTCGTGGTGTCCTGTCAGGCGGCGAACATTGTCCTTCCCCCCCTTTGGGTCGTAGGCCTGGATGTGACGCAGGTGTTGCTTCGACAGCTTGTCTATCGCCTTCTCAATCTCTCTGTGGATGAACAAAGTGTGATTCACATCCTCTGTCTTCAGGACTATTTCGTGACAGAATACATAGTCCACAGATCCTTCAACTTTAATAAAGATACGTTGTTTGGTTCAAAAGTGTCCTGTCCTGTGAAATGAATCACCTCTACCAATCTAAAAACGTTTCAGGCCTGTTGCTCTCATTTAAATGATTATTCCTTCTCGTGTAATTGCTTTAGAATCATCCTGTGCGTGATTGTTTTACTCACATGATGCCGTTCTCTTCTCGCATGGCCACAGTCGAGAAATTGCAGTGAGCCCCTGACCCATTCCAGTTGCCAGTCATCGGTTTGGGGTCGAATGTCACGATAACTCCATACTCTTCAGCTATTCGGTGCAAGATGTATCTGGCGACCCAGAGGTCGTCCGCGCACTTTATACCTTCGCCCGGTCCCACTTGGAACTCCCACTGAAATTTCATCAACATTTGCCCTTGAAGTTTCGTTCAGAGTTGGCACTTGGTCTAAATGGAGTCGTACTTTGCACAGCCTCACCTGAGCGGGCATCACTTCGGCATTTGTGCCTGCGATATCAATGCCTGCATACAGACACGCCCTGTAGTGCGCCTCTACAATCTCCCGCGCATACACTTTGTCAGCCCCAACACCGCAGTAGTAGGGTCCCTGAGGGCCCGGGAAGCCATTTGCTGGCCATCCAAACGGGCGTAGGTCCGAGTCCAGTAGGGTGTACTCCTGCTCTATTCCGAACCAGGGTTTCGTGTCCACGGCTCTCTCCACTGCCTCCAGACAAGTATGTCGGTGATTTGAGGCTGTAGGATCACACTCATTAGACGACGAAACACTCTGATGTATCATCATGGTTTATTTTCAGAGATTAAAATAAGGCTACGTGCCACGTGGGCACAGGAGGTAAAGCTCCTACTTATTTCTCGGTCTTGCCACTAGATGGGAGGAGTGTGGCCAGCTTCACGCCTCATTCCCTTGTACAAAGGACGGTCTAGGTAACTTAAGTAATACTTAGGTATTTTAAAGACTGGTGAAGGATGAGGAATGTTTTGGGTCCAACTGTATCACGTTTCACCTCTTGGCACTTCGCTACTCACCGGTGGGATCCTTATTGTGCTTGTATGTGTCGCACAGCACCAGAGCGTTGTTTGCTCCGGGTCTGAACGGGTCCTTGTACACGGCGACAGGGTTAAGGAAAGTGTCAGAGTTCGAACCCTCGGCTTGATACGTAGAGCTGCCATCGTAGTTCCAGATGGGGTAATCTGCATACACAGACAAAAACGTCAAGTTGGAGTAGAACGGAGACAAGCTACCCCTGTACCCACTGATGAGGGAGGGAGGCGAAACGGGTCATAGCTGGTCTGGGCAGGGGGAGGAAGAAAGAATCTGCCCCTGTCGCGAATCGACTCCCATCCTCCGTCCCACCGCGTCTCTGCGTACCGACCTACGGAATGAGCCACGCGGATGTTGGGTCGCCCGAGGGAGTTGACGCGTGACCGTCACGTGACCAGCTAGTGTTCCTGCCAGCGTTAAATATACTGCAACAGCTGAACAGATGGAAACGTGGTTCGAGATGCAATGTGTCTGAAGGAAATCGTATCTGAACCAGAAGTGCCCTCGTCTGCGCAGCTGACGGTTGTGTAGCTGTTCAAAGAACGTATCTTTGAGCTCGGTTTGCACAATCGATCACACAGACCAGCTGTTTCGCATCCTCACAATCTGCATATTCCTGAAATTAATTATAATAATGCCCTCTGCTTGCAACATGTCCGGCCTGTAATTCGGTCCCTGTGGTGTCCGGTGAAGGCCGATTTCAGCCTACGTCGTCAGCTGCTCGTTTCACTGGTTTTTGCTCGTGGTTTATTTCTTAACTATGGCTAAAAACTACAAGTGTTTGCATAACAAAAACATTCATTTCGCCTTCTCGCCTTGTGGACGGGACAAAAACTACCTTTTTCGAATTTTCATCTTTTTTTTGGTGGGGGGGGGGTGGAGATTTGTCAGCGATTTTCGACACCGAAGGTGTTCACAGGCAAGAACATCGCGAAACGATCCCTAAAATAAAACGGTATTTCCATCGTGATGTTACGCGAAATGACAGGGGCGCTCTTGGACGTGGCCTTGAGCCAAGTCATGTTGTTTTCGTGGCAACATTGCGAAATCTTTCGACGTGTCATCATCGCCTGAGGCGTTATTTTTGAGCATTTCGCTGAAGGAAGAAAACTTACTACACGTGAATGCCCCCGAAATCATGAATTAAACAGCATAGGTTACTGTGTTTATTTCCGAAAATACAGCAGTTCTCAGTTGGTCATTAGGTTTAAAAGTTCGGTGGTAACTTTATGTACCACCTGCTTCTACAACCAGCAACTCTACATTTTCATCTCTGAACGTATTTGTGTTTTTCGTAACATTCTCGTAAAAACAGCGATTATTTCTTAAACAGCGTTAACCAGTTGATCTTTGTAATGGTGAAGTGTAGTGTTTTCTTCGCGGTACGGACTGAATTCTTAAATACGTAATATTTAGACGAGCCTGGTGCTTAAAAGGGCATATGAGGCTCGCTGTCCTGAGCTGCTCACCTTTGGGCGTCTTCGGCACGAAGGTGAGGGTGCGATCCTTGGCCCTCACGTACTCGCCCGTCCCGTCGATCCAGATGTACGTCGCCTGGATCTTGTTTTCCGGCTGCGGCAAACGGAGGAATTTCTCCAAGATCGTCTTGTCCAACTTGGCGTTGGGCGAGTGTCCCAGCGTGTTCATGGCGCTAGCCCTGTGAACACAACGCGGTCTGCATGTCAAGTAATTCTGGGGAGACAAACATTGTAGGTGGGAAAACGTCGATCACCCGTGAAACGTCCTTTTGTCGATACGAAAACTTGTAGAGAACTGACTGACAAGAAACATATGGGCTACAAAATATAGGGACATGCACCTCGCATCGAAAATTTTATTCGGAAAACCCGAAAGGAAAGGAAAGGAGCACTTGAGACAAAATCAGAGATGGGAGGATGATATTAAAATGTATCTCAAAGAGGATATGGGTCACATTCGTGTGTCCTAAGTGTCGCGTTCTTCCGAAAACAGCGTTGATCTTTCGTGTTCCGAATTTGGCAGGTAATGCGACCAGCTGCGCGAATATCAGCGGCTGTACTTCGCGAAGTTCGTCGTCTCCTTGCCGTTGCAGCGGGTGTTTGATGCCACCCCTTTTTTTCGCACCAACGACATATTTTTCCCGAGCTGACCATGAACCGGGGGCTAATAAACACGCCTTTCCGTGGCCCCGCGATCAGCCACGAAAGGATGTAAGATAACCTCAGAATCAGCTTCTACAGGAAAAAACAACGAGTAATCCCTGTTTTGCGCGAGTGACCATTTGAACGCGCAAACAATTGAGGTTTAGACCGCGACCGCGTCACAGCCGGCCCTGGTCCGTCGAGGTTAATGCCCGCGTGTTTTTTGAGAGAATTTGGGTCACTAATGCAGGGGGTCTGCGTCGCAGGTTTTGACTTGCTCATTGCGCCTGTCTTCTGGGGTGATCCGCCGTGTAGCCTGGTTTTGAGAGAATTTGGGTCACTAATGCAGGGGGTCTGCGTCGCAGGTTTTGACTTGCTCATTGCGCCTGTCTTCTGGGGTGATCCGCCGTGTAGCCTGGTTTCTGACCGACGTTTCAGAGGTGGTTACTGCCTCCGTCACGGGGACCGCAAGCAATTGTTTCCGTTTCCGTTAGGAAGGAGCAGATATTGAAGTCTCTCGTCGTCCTCCGTTCTGAGTGTTAATATTTTTCTTACGTCCGAAGTAAACAAACCTCAAATCTTACGAAGTAAACAACTTCATTAGTCATGAGTATTTTCCCAAGGGGTGTGGCTTCATATTTCACAACCACACAGAATAAAAAGAATGAAACGCGAAATTATCTGTACGTATCTTAATATCTAGTACGATAGCCTACGGAAATGATAATTTTGGGGCGTATTTTACGACGCTGCCTCAACTGCGCAGGTCCTGGGCCGAGAGTCGAAGCCAAGACATCCCGAATACGAAACAGCAGGATTGCCAATCTCTCGACAACAAAGTTGCACGCAAATTTTTCTGAACCGAGGCAGAAACCACTCAGGTGGCACGTGAAATTGAGGGGGTGCAACGCGAGGTCAAGGTGCTCCGGGCAGCTGAAGCAGCCTTAAGATATCGATTGCCGGAGATCCATACGAGGTACGACGGCGGACATGCACCGGTTCGCTGGGCGATGTTCTGATGTCAGCAGGATGGCATGATCAAAGCGGCCTGAGCTTACATTCACAGCTTTTTGAGGGGATTATTCATCCGCGCGTTTTTCTGCCAAATTCTCACTTCCCGCGAGATTTTTCCAACAATATTGTTTATGTACGTCTTCATTTACTCATACGTGTTACACGTCTCGCCGTTCTTGAATTGACGCTTCTGAGAGGAAACCTCGCGAAAATGTTAATGAAAAGCAAGTAATTTTATGCGGGGTCCGTCCATTGCACGTACTATCCCGTCCCGTCACACGCGCGTCAATTGGCCTCCCTCCGTGACTTTTTATGCTCGTATTTTGTACGGTAAAAGAAAGGCACACTCAAGTCGATGCAGTTCTTTTGGTCCTCCCTTTTATTTCCTCACAGCAAATGGACGCGCGCCAAAGAATCTGACATTTCGTCAGTGGACCAATCGTTTTGGGGTCAGATGTTTTAGATTCCTAATCGAAGTTTCACAACAGCCAGCAAGTGTTTCGAGACAAAAAAAATATGTGGCCCTAGAGATTAAGAAGCACAGATTCCTTCTAAAACAGTACTTACTAGTTCAGAATTACAGGAAACGTAACTACGCTCCATAAGATAGATTTGCGCAAGAAAAATCCAAAGTCCAATCCAGTTTTTTATGTCATATTATTTTCGCCATCGATTAGATAAGACTTTTCCCGTTCAATTCAAATACGAGCCGACTCACCAGAGGACGAGGACAATCTTGTATTTAAATCCATTTTAATATTATCCTCCCATCTACGCCCTCTGACTCCCAAGAGCTCTCTTCCCTTCACGTTTTCTGTTATTCCGTAAAGAACACGAATTATTACGTTTTTTTTTCGTTTATCAGGCAATTGTTATAAATAGGAAACAGGCAAGATGGATTTTTGCCCGAACGGACTTACCTATGGGTTTCGTGAAGTCTATAAATAGTAATGTCCCTCTGTACTTCAATTTAATCCCCAGTATCTGATCAGTAATTGATTGATCACATCGAAATGCAAACTGGTAATCCCCAGTAATTTCATGCGCCTATAGAGTTAATCGTAATTAATCGATAAGTTATATTCCTCGGCATCTGCTAGTCCGTTTTATCGCCCTTTCCGTAAACAATCAACAGGTTACTTCCATTGTTTGTTGCTGTGTCTCCTTGCTACCTTCAATTCTGGTTAATATTCTAATCGCTGTGAAGCACAAAACTGTTTACGTAGTAAAACATTTGCTACAGTGTTCAGACCACAATTATAATCCAAATAACAACCGATTCTGTTCGCGAGTTCCCTTGGGCATGTTTGCTATCGATAGTCGACTACGATCGAGCTGTAAAATACGCATTGAGCTCAATGGCATCATCTCGATTTCCTTGACCCTGTTATCACATTTTCGTTGTGTTCACATGGCAACTATAGAGCTGTAAGTGAACGGAGCTAGTTGCGTAACTAAAAGTCAGTCGACCACTCTTGTTGCTATGGAACCCGTCTCATAAGTCACAAAATAAAATCACTAATGAATGATCCGATCCAATTCAGTTCATTTCACATCCACCCTTTTTTAACAAACCGTTTGAAACCTGAGTTCGTATAAATAATATTAAATAATTCTGTCCGTACCGCGAAGAAAATACGACACTTCACCATTACAAAGATTAACTGGTTAACGCTGTTTAAGTAAATAATCGCTGTTCGTGGTGGCACTCGCACGAAACACACAAACACAAAACGTAGGGTTATCGATTGTTGAAGCAGCTGAGGCTTTATAGGATTAATTTTAGTCTTCGTGTTATTCTCCCAACTGAGACTGCGCAAGGCCGAGTGTCTATTGTCGAACAAAGAAGTGCACCCATAGTGCTCGGTTACGATAGACGGGTTTCTTTCTTAAGTGTGGCGACAGATTAAACGCGTTCCTGATAAATAAATAACTTCTCTCTTGTAAACCGGACACCCTTGCAATAAAATCACTAACCTGACAACAATGCGGTGGTGACCTGGTTTCCTGCAATCAGCTGTTGGAAATACCAACTGAGGTTCACCAAACACTCCAATCTAATGGACAGGCACCCCCCCCCCCCCCCCCTTCAAACGCTGCTGACATGCGCACTGTGACTTTACGGCCCAACCCGATCAGCTGATTACGTCCATCCCGGATATCCCACCCAATTCTTTAGCCCCTCTTCTGGTGCCGCCAGGAAAATTTATGGGTTCGTTGTTCTGTGAATTTTATTGTGTTTTTGACAGGCCGTCCCGGTGGCCCACTTTTTGACAGCATTCACTGTCCGCGAAAGTGATTGTTGCCTTATTAATCGTTAATGATTTATTTAATCGTCTGATTTAGTTCCTACAATGGTACTGCTCTTACTTGAAAGTCCATCTAACAAATTGTGAGCCCGGAGCAAGTGGTATACATAGTTACCAGTGTGTACTACATAGCATTCTACGTTCACTCGGGTAATCCGGGAGATGTGCGCTAAGCAAATACGCTTCTAATTACTGCTTATTGAGTTTTTGTGGGTGACGTCCCAAGTCTTTTGATCCCAATTAATTACGGAGTCAGTAACAGAGGGCGAGCGTGTGAATTGTCCCTCAATGAAGCAGGGCTGTCCAGTATTTTGCTGCCATCTTCAGGACACTAAATTACGTCGTGGGTTGTGATTTGAATACTTCTTGCTAGTACAGTTTCAAAATAGAGGTGGTTATGATGGGCTGGGTGTGTAGAAGAAACAAGGAAGAATAACGTGGGCAGGGAAACCCAGTCGAAAGACAGTAAGAAGAACTATGAAGTACCGAAATGGGTCATAGGGAATTGGAGCAGTGTCACTGTCAGGGCCGCGTGATATTAACAAAATGGCCACAGAGACACGACACCTTACACGTAGAGGCCGTACCAATGCTGAAACAGCAGTTTTTATGTCATTGCTAAGACATTTTTCTACACCCTTTAAAACCCAGCGGCAACAATGTCACATTTGCTTCAACAATCAGCAAATCTTCATTTTGTATTTACGTGTTTCCTATGATTCTCATTATAAACATCGATTATTTCCTTAAACAGCGTTAACCAGCTGATCTTTTTTTAATGGTGAAGAGTTGTGTTTTCTTCGCGGTACGGACTGGTTTCTTAAATATTAATCAGACGAACTATGATTCTCACTATAAACATCGATTATTTCCTTAAACAGCGTTAACCAGTTGATCTTTGTAATGGGGAAGAGTTGTGTTTTCTTCGCGGTACGGACTGAATTCTTAAATATATGTTGACGACTTTCAGCTTCAGAGGGTTAAATATTAATTCCGAAAGTGGTTAGTAGTTACGTATATATTTTTTTATTTGCGAACAGCAATTTGGTGTTGATCATGCAGCTGAGGAAAGTCACAATAATAACTGAAACCGCTTGCAAAGAAGAAGGCCTTGGGTGAGACTGCGAGCCTGTCTTATCGCATTTGCCTTCAAGGCCTTCAATTGGACTTTCCCCAGTCGTTTTCCAACCGCTCATGGAAGGCAGTGGCTTGTCTTGTCTTGCTTTCTCACTGAGCGCTGCCATCCTCATGGCTTTTTATAGAGCAAGACGATGGTGATTCTCGATTTTGTTGCAAAGACTCGCCCGCCGCATTGCATATCGGGAACTACACAAAGTAACAAGTTAGGAGATCATTACATAATGGACGAAGAGCTACATGATCTGCAGTCTTGGCCAAATGCGTGTTATTGGGGTGATGAAATCGAGGAGGATCAGATGGGCAGGGCGTGTAGAATGCGCTGCGGGTAGATGAAAAATGCGCACGAAGTTTCGGCTCGAAAGCGTCTTTGAATATTTAGGCGTTTTTCGGAGGATGATATTAAAATGGATCTCAAGAAAGTAGTTTCGAACTGTAAGTTGCAGAAGGGGAGAAAAATTGAACGTATTTTGTGTCCAGTACACTTTTCCGTGAAGTCAGTTGCAGATTCCTTGCCCGACGTTTCGGCCGTGGAAATTTCCGGCGAGCAATGAATACGGGGCGGACTTACAGACGAAGCAAACGAAAAAGGAACGCGAGAGAGGGATGCCGTACGCACATCGACACTGGCTGCATCCCTTTGGCCAGCTTCACGCTGCAGCCGTTTTACCCCGCAAATAAAGAGAAAAATCCCTGACCCCACGGAGAGTCGAACCCCGATGGTCCAGACAGCTACTGAGTGAGATGAAAAACTACGAAACTTCGCTCACGCTGCTCGAAGAAAAGAGGGAAGACTGTTTGAACTTGTGGTTATAACTGGTCGTACTCAGAGATATTTTAAACTTGTGTGCTTTGGAGTTAACACGGGAGCGCGAAAACTTCGAGGATTTTTTTTAAGTTATTGTGTTAACACGTGACCCGGCTGCTGAAATGGATTCAAAGCGTGAATGTCTCAATTTGTGCGTGGATCGTAATCAGCGCCCGCTGTTGTGCCAGGTGAAATGAATTATTTAGTGCCACTGTGTTCGCTGAATGTGCTTTGTGGTTAACATGATTAAGACGGGAGATTAAGACGCGTGTACGAACCGGATTGAACCGGTTCCATTTCCTTTCACAGTTCAGTGCCTGATCGCTTTCTTTTTCTTCGGCTTATTTGGCTCGCGGACTGACGAGTTGCGTAATGCCCGACATTCTGCCTCATAAAAGCTGACGACTTATCACCCAACCAGATCGCGACAGTTCACCGACCATGGAAAATATCAGCCCTGAAGACAGAGGCATTATGTTCCTTCGAAACGCTGGTGCCTGCCTGCAAGTCCTCGCGGCGTTATGAGACAGAAGACCGACTCATTATCATTTTTAAAAAAAACCGACTTGTCGTGCAGAAAATTACGACGAAATTTTTCAATATGGCTGCCGACCCTTAACGAAATCAAAGCGAAAATAATTTATGTCCGCGCTGTAACAATAACAGCGGATCAGAATTAGCATGAAGGCAAATACGGGCAGACAAAGACGCGAATATCTCGTTAGGTAACTTTGCGCACGCTTGTCGTTACGTAAGGAGCAGATCTGAAAAATCAGAGTTCGAACCCCCAGTTGCGAATACATCGCCTGGTTTTGATGCCGCGCAACCCAGAAGATGGCGGTCGGAAAGAATCTTTCTCTTCGCTGCCCCCAGACCGGCTCTGGGTACCTGAGGTAAAGCTGGCCCCTCACATCCGCCTAGTGCCGAGGTGAATAATGGTTGGAGCTGTACCTCCACTCCTCCATACGTCTTCATGGCGTGCTCTTAGTACCAAGGACAGCCATCACGCTCTCAAGTGTGGCTGAACGCCTCGAACATTCTCGATCTGACGCGAGCGCCGAACAAGTCCACACTCAACCGACTTTCTGTTGGTTTCTTTCTTCGTGACATTTCTAGCGGCCAAACTCGTTTTCCTTTGTCGTTCGGTGTTTTTATTTGTAATAATCGATTGCTTCCTTGAACAACGTTAACTGGTTGATTGTTGTCATGGAGACGGCTTGGTAAGAACTGAATTTCAGATTTCAAAGGCCTTATGACGTCAGAGCGGCGTAATAATTCAAAATGGCCGCACGAGTCAACACGATGATGAACCTTAGGATTCCATAGACGTCAGGTAATTTGTTGGCTTGCTGAGCGACTATTAGCTTGTCAAGAAGGACTTTGCTCCTGGAGTGGAATGAGTCAATGATTATGTTTGACAGAAAACAGCTCTGGAAGCCGTGGTGGGCATTACTTGGACCTGTAATTAATACTGGGACATTAACGTCGTGTATTACATTTTATAATTAACAGTAATTACGAAGTACGTGAAGACTCATAAATATTTAAATGAGCTACATGCTTCTTCACTTAGAATATCATCGTTAGATCTTTACTTTCTGCCACTTTTGTTACTAGATGCAGTTTAAACCAGTTACGTGTTATTAAATGGACGCCAAACAAACAAACAAAATAAATGCAATACAGTTATGTCGCCGCCTTCGACAATTAGTACTCCTTGCGCGAGGCTCGTGAAGTGAACGCATGATGGAAGTCGTACCCATTCCCGACCTTAACTGCCACTTCACAGATCTGGAGAGACTTTAATTTGCCTTCGCTGTTCAAGAAAATGTCACACAGGACGGGAATTTCTTCCGATAAAGCGAAGTGTGACGAACGATAGGCGAGCAATGATAAACGGAAATCAAGCATGGAAGATAACACAGCGCCTGTAGTCCAAATCGAGAAGAACTGCATTGCGAATTTGCAGCAGGTTTCGAGGCCGTTCCCACCCGCGACTCGCATTGTGTCCGTGACATAAGCTTCGGAATTCGGTCCACGGATGAACACGCTTTGCAGCGGCAACGAGCTGCCACGGTCGTCGAGATTCATTACCAAGCAAATTGTGACGGGGCCTCTCATCCTTCGTCTTGCGTAATTCATGTTTGTGCCTTCGTTTCGTAACGTACGAGTTCTTCACAGTCTCGTGTCCTGAAGCTGAAGCCGAAGCTGGTCTAAACAGCGTTTTAAAAACTCAGTCCGTACCGCGAAGAAAACACAACTCTTCACCATTACAAACTTCAACTGGTTAACGCTGTTTATTCTGAGAATCATAGTTCGTATAAATATTATTAAATAATTCTGTCCGTACCGCGAAGAAAATACGACACTTCACCATTACAAAGATTAACTGGTTAACGCTGTTTAAGTAAATAATCGCTGTTCGTGGTGGCACTCGCACGAAACACACAAATACAAAACGAAGGGTTATCGATGGTTGAAGCAGCTGAGGCTTTATAGGATTAATTTTAGTCTTCGTGTTATTCTCCCAACTGAGACTGCGCAAGGCCGAGTGTCTATTGTCGAACAAAGAAGTGCACCCATAGTGCTCGGTTACGATAGACGGGTTTCTTTCTTAAGTGTGGCGACAGATTAAACGCGTTCCTGATAAATAAATAACTTCTCTCTTGTAAACCGGACACCCTTGCAATAAAATCACTAACCTGACAACAATGCGGTGGTGACCTGGTTTCCTGCAATCAGCTGTTGGAAATACCAACTGCGGAAAAAAGGATTTTTAAAATTCCTAAGATAGGGGCTCTTGTGAACGCGGTAATGAACATTGTGGTCCCATAAAAGACTGGGAATTGTTAATAAGCGGAGCGTATTATTTATTAGCTTTTCAAGGAATTTGCACCGTGGAGTCGGGTGGAATGATTTGAACCCGAAAGGATTAACATCAGTTAACATTAATCAGACATTCGTCTGTTCGGATACACCTCGTAGGATCTGCCCCCCCCCCCAACTATTGACACAAAGAAAGGGAAAACGAAGTTGAGAGTTGTCACGTGATTGTCATCGAACCATCACAGATAAAAGATAATAGACATTACGTTTGTGGGTCGCGATAAACTACAATTAGTTTGTTTGTTTAACTTTTGAACCTGACCCGCGCCCTGTGGAGGCGCAGTATCTTATCAACGAGTCAGAACCACGACGACAATAGTTCGGGGCGAAGTGACTGGGCCCCGCGGGGTCTCTGCTGCTACCCAATTCCCGTTCGAAGCTCAGTGGTAACTATATGTACCACTTGCCGACAGATGGTATTAATGAGTTTCGTATGATTCTCGGAATTAACAGCGACGCTGAGTTTGCACTTTGACCCCTTCGTGCGATCAGACGCTGGGGCAAGGCGGAACAGTGTTTTCCTTGTTTCAGTGTTGGAGCAGGGAACGGAAAGGAGGTGCTTGTGGCACGTATTTGTTTCTGTGGAGGAAATCCCGTTGAAATGAACGAGAAGCTGAAAGTGTTAATGCAAGTGTGGACTATAATAAATAAACAAGTATCGAGTCAACTAACGGGTTTACGTCTCAGAATTGAATTCTGAATACAAATGTCGGATTGGTTCGTGCGCATTCAAGCGGTGATGTTGTTTTTCTTACAAAATAACTCTCGACGTCTGCAGCTCGAAGGCAATTACGGGTAGACGCTCACAGTTTCACTGAAGTTCTTGACACGAATTGAAATTAAGTTAAAAAATGAGACGTGAAACATTTTGCGATATAAATGTCTTATATTTATTGAAATACGAGGAAAATCATTTGGGACCACGCTGTCTGTTACGAATTTACGCCATTTTGAGATACGAGGCTATCACTGCAGTGACGTTCAATACCGACAACCGAGGCGGTACGTTCCCATAAAACAAAGTTGAATGAGCATCGTCAAACAAGCCAAGAAAACTTGTGGACTTGTAGGTACATACAAACGTTTCGAGAGAATATACTGCCTCCATCTTCAGGGCTGAAGTCCAGGAAGAAGGGACATGCGGTCCGTCCGTTTCCCCGTTGGCCGGAACCGCCCTTTCGCGACACAAGCCACGGACTGTTCACGTGATGGCCTCGTGACTGCAGCAGACAGGTGGAGGCTTTTGTCATGAATGTACGATCCAGCATTGACGCTACACGCTTTCTTAAATTTGGCTGTCCGACTTGCTGCCTCCATCGTCAGTACTCATTCGTTGCTTTGATGATTCTGTACGTTTCAAGCAATTGGAAATAATTGTTCGTAAAGAGATCTGATCTCTGTGGTGAAGACGATGGTCCTCGGAGAAGCGTGCTATCTCCACCCTCCATTTTCCTGCATCGCCACGTAAGTCCTGAAGATGGAGACAGAATTTTTCTTCGAAACGTTGGCCATCTACGGACGGATCTGCACAGCACGAAAACCCAGAAAACATCTTCAAGGCCAACCTAGAATGCATTGTAGCGAGGCTTCAAATTGCCTTGTTTCGAAACCTGTGAATCCGGTCAGACCGGTTCATCTCCTCGTCTTATTTCTGAGTCATCTCATGAGAAATTTTAACTTGGAAAGTTTCCGTACAGTACGCATCATAAAAAAGTACCGCTTTTCAGACAGGCGCACGCAAAATGCTTGTGTTTGTCACAAGTTGGAACACAATGACAAGGCAATTATGAATTCGTAACACAGTTGCGGGTTTTTGCTGCGAAAAGGCGTCCTCGTGCGCTGGTTCTCAATTCGCGGTTCCCGGACCGCATACGGCACATCGATGTGATTTGTTCGATCCACGTGTTTTCGTTATACTCCGTGCGATTTAATGAGTTCGTCTCAATTGAGAACGTCAGATAAGACCAATATTTGGGATAAAAACAGAAATTAAACCTGATATTCAGAGATCATTGAAGCAAATGCGGTGGAAATTACTAACGTTCCAATAAATTGGGCGAAATTTGCCGCGGGTCAGGACATTAATGGGCGAGAGAGAGAGAGAGAGAATCTCTGCATTGGCTACACACGATAGTATTTTTTGAGAGTACCGATTGACAGGTTTATACGAAATTCTCATGTTTGCAACATAAACAAAACATGTTTGTTTGTCGCTTAGTTCGGGAGATAAAAAAACTGCAACATCTTTGCTCACGGCAGGAAGTGGTAAGGAATGAAATCCCTCTCTCTTGTGCCAGGCTTCATCTCACACAGTATGAACGTTGGTACCACTGATTCCCGCGTTTCTCTGTTGATCTTTGTACTTAAGAGATCTCGCTTGCTTGTTATTAAATAATACTTTGCCGTTCATTGTGTTTGTTTGTAAAAGAATTTCCTTTTCACACGAAAATATCTGAACTGAAGATACAATTGTTCTTCACGTGTTGTTTGTTAACAAGGGTTTCTGGTTCGCTGGGACTCGATGTTGCAGTCGAATTACCGTTGACAATCATCAGTGCGCATGTCACGGGCGTCATCGGCAAATCCAGCAAGCATCAGACGCGTTCTCGAAGGTTCCCATTGTTCATAATTTTCAGCACATGTAGCACACGCTCCTTATGTTCTGACGTTTTCCATCTGAAGAAGAAACACCTTTAAATAATATTAAAGAATTCAGTCCGTACCGCGAAGAAAACACGACAAGGCACCATTACAACGATCAACTGGTTAACGCTGTTTAAGGAAATAATCGCTGTTTACAGTGAGAATCATAGTTCGTCTGATTAATATTTAAAAACTCAGTCCGTACCGCGAAGAAAACACGACAAGGCACCATTACAACGATCAACTGGTTAACGCTGTTTAAGGAAATAATCGCTGTTTACAGTGAGAATCATAGTTCGTCTGAATAATATTTAATAATTTCGGTGCATTGTTATTTGGCGTCTGGGTTAGCCACTCAGTATCCTACACAGCCCTCTTCCGACTGCGGACCGCGGTTTACAGTCCCTATGATTTCCTAAAAGGGCGCAGAGACAGACAACGTTTAACATTCTTTTTCCTAATTTTTTCCCTTACATTAAGTAGCGTTAGTAGCTGAAGCAGCGTGTTATTTGTGGGCCATGGCAGAACGTCCATATAAGATTTCATGAAAATTCTTCTGGCCATTTTCTCGAATTATATGCGTACAGACGGAAGGACAAATCCATTTTAATAGTCGTTCCACGAGGATGGGAAGGCGCTTAAAATCGGGGTCACAGCATGAAATGAGGCACAGAAAACGGACTGACCTTCGCGATGCGGGCTTATCAACGCAAATCAAGTCCGCTTTCCCTCTCAGGGCGAAACTCGAGCGACCCTCGCCACTTCATAGCTGTTGAAGCGAAGTGCGGATGTCCTCATTCAAACGATGGCCCAACTGCAGTACACTCGTGAGCAAAAGTTTTTAGCGTCGTTTCAACAGTCAAACACTCTTCATTTTCACTTTTTTAATTTCGTACGATCCTCAGAATAAACAGCGATCATTTCCTTAAACGGCGTTAACCAGTTGATCTTTGTAATGGTGAAGAGTTGTGTTTTCTTCGCGGTACGGACTGAATTCTTAAATAATATTGAGACGAGCTTCGGCTTCAAGGGGTTAATTAGCGTTATATAACATCGATTATTTCCTTAAACAGCGTCAACCAGTTGATCTTTGTAATAGTGAAGAGTTGTGTTTTCTTCGCGGTACGGACTGAATTCTTAAATAATATTGAGACGAACTTCGGCTTCAAGGGGTTAATTAGCGTTATGTAACATCGATTATTTCCTTAAACAGCGTCAACCAGTTGATCTTTGTAATGGTGAAGAGTTGTGTTTTCTTCGCGGTACGGACTGAATTCTTGTAGCTAGCTAATGCCGAGGTGAAGAATACGTGAATCTACCTCCACCATCATAAACCCCTTGGCGGAAGGAAGACTTCGGCCGCCTAGGCGAAAATGGAATTATAATATTAAAATGGATCCTAAATGGAATGTTTAAATGCGGAGTGGATTCAATTGGGTCAGAAACAAGGTATAGTGAATCACAGATTGCACGGTAATGAATATTCGGAGAGTGTGAAATAAATAAAAAAGACCCCATCGAAATCCGTCGCGTTAATTCACACAGAAACTTATAATGAAAAGAGTAATTTTGCTAACAGTAAGCGATTGTCATGACGGAGGTTAGTGCATCGGAAAGTTAAAAGTTTGGACTGATTAATTTCGGCAACAGGCGCGCCATCTACAGTGTAAATGTACAACCTGCTACATGCTCCCAACAAACTACGTACACTCCGTCCGTCCGAAGGTGGCCGTCTTCCGGGTTGTAGTTACGTGTAGTCTCGTAGAAGTTTACCAAAGTTTCTGGCAACCTTGCTGACTCCATCATCAGGACGATGAGGATCTCTAAAACGTTGGTAAACTTCTACCAGACTACGTGGTACTACAACCCAGAAGACTTTATAGTCTTCCCCAATGGTGGCTTATTCTCACTTAATTTGAAAGCCAGGGCTTATCCCTCCATTAAAATTATGTATCGAATCCTATCAATGTACTTTCCTGTTGAGATTGTCATCATAATATGATAATAAGCATTGATAAGAGGTACAAATGTACTATTTTCTGTGATAAGGCAGAACCTTCAATGTTGAATAGATTTTTTTCAAAGGTAGCAGATATTGACCTGGAAATGTGACATTTCGGGTTCTCGCATCAACAAGTGTAAAGAAGGCTGTCTTGTGGGATATTAAGCGTCAGGGCAGTGGTGGAAGCATTAAGCTCCTCTGAAATGTTGGGTCAGTATCTATGAGACTACACTGCGCTACAACCCAGAAGACAGTCGTGTTCAAAGGGGAAGCGTCATTATATTTTGTTGTTGTCCTCATATTTTATTGAACATTATACAGTAATAGAGTATCTTATTCATCCTCATTTATTTACTATAACATATAATAATAATTGTTAACAACTGACACTTTACACCGCAGTAATCCTGCAAAATGAAAAACATATATTTGATAATAAATACATGACAAACTGTTGTCAACAAAAAATATACTGTCATTCAGTTTGATGCTGCAATAAGAATTGGTTTAGGCCAAGAAAATCTAGCTGCTATGTTACGCCGTGTGAGAATGTGGAATTAGGAATTTGTGTGATGACATGGGTATGACCGAGAACTCGCAAACATTTTCACCGTGTGTGATTAACTTGTTTCTCGCTACGGTAGTGATGGCGTTTTTGGGGACAGAATGTTCGAGGGACCGAGAAAAGGAGCCAAGCGGGCTACGGCGTATTTCTCGAGCCGACAAGGACTCGCCGATTGCGCGATGTTTCTAAGTGTGGTGCAGAACATTGAGTTTATGACTGAAGAAGTTCCTGTAACATCTAAGTCGGCTAATTTAAGAAGAACATCAACTTTGGAACAGTTCCAGTCCAATTTTGAGTTTTCTGGTTTATCATTATAACTGCAGCTGTAATTTTAAACCTGTTATGGACTGAGCAAAAAGCCATCATGAAATGTTCTTTGCTGGCTCTGGTCATGCAGTGCGATTGCTTCTGCTGTTCCAGGAGTGAAGTTGTGATAAGTTTGCTCTAAAAGCTTGAGACAGTGTTACTGTCACTGATAGTACTGATAACTTATCAAACTACATTTTTACTTCTGAGATCATTCACAAGTTTACATCGTAATCATTCTTTCTACGAAGTGTATGAAAAAAGGATTGTAACAGCAAAGATGTGTCCATTCAAATTTGTCTTCTTATCCAGAAATATTAAAAGTGTCAATTAAAATTAGGTACTGCATTCCACATCAAACATCACATTTGGCTCATTCATATCAGTGACTTTCTTTTTTATTACATTCAAATCAGATTCCACTTTTAAAAAAAAACTGCTCTTTAAATAAGCGCAACAGAAAAAAGATTTTATTAACCATTTAATATTTTATTTATGCGGTTTCCAGTGTATTTAATATATAGCAAAATACCAGGAGAAAATATTTTATGCCTCCAAGAGTGTGATATCTGTTGATCAGCTTTGTCACTGGTACATTTTGAGAGGACGTCGACTGGCAACAGATTTTTGTCAGCAATAAATGAACATCGAGACAAGTCGCAGATGTAAAATTATGAGGACTCGTTTGAAAAAGATAATGGCGTGAATTGACTGTCACAGTGCGAAACACAGGAGCACGTCTAAAAATAAAGGACGTTGTCAGAGAACAATTTCGAAGCTCGCTATGCACAGATTAACTTCGGAAGTATGCGAGAGTGAACTGTATCACGTGGCGAAACTCAATTCTGTGTATTTTTTGGTACCCAACCCAGAAACAGAAGTTTCCACCAAAAACAAGCTCCGCTCTGTTTCAACCTCTGGACGTGTTTGACATCGCAGGTAACAAATACATATCGAGGAACGCACAGCTAACACTTTCTGTTGTCACCTCTTCGGAACAGAGCTCTCGGCAGTAAATACAAAAGAGTGTGGTAGTTCTTGCACAGCGTACGAAGTCTATAAGAGTAAAAATAGCATTAACACCTTTTATTTATGCTTTATTTAATAATTATGTTTCTAGCTCAGACTGTGTAGCGAATGTTAGCATGAAAGTGCTTCTCGACGAAGGAATATTCATGGGAACCGACTGGAAATTGTCGATGGAAAAGTGTTAGACCCTTGGCACCTTCTGGTGTGGCCGGCAAATTGCGAGGCTCCCGTCTGCATTCAACATTATATCTGAAATCATGTTCTTCTCATGGCACCATTCTCTGTGTCTTGAGAGTAAACCCACGGGTCTCTCAATGAAGTGGCATGTGCGTCCGGCGATGATATTTCATTGAATATAGAAGTCGATCTTGCGACGATACACACGATGCTCACAATTGCATTTCTTTACTTAGAATGAAAAAACTGGCTTACAGTTTTATTAATTCAGAACCACCAACTTCAGATCCCAGTGACGCCACAAGAAAACTACGTTCCATCTCACGCTCATCACAGATGAAGCTTAATTATCCAGTACTTTTCTGAAATTCATATAAATTGAAGTTAGAATAGTTGAAATGGATAATGAAACTTCCATACGCTTACTTCGCTGTAACTCTATATAAAAAAATATTAAACACAAAATGGAAGAGGTTTAGCCTGGCCAGGATGCATCTATAGGCACATAGGACTCGGCCCATGTTTCGCTTGCCACTAGCAACCAGTTTGGGACAAAAAAAAAAAACAATAGCATGAGTCCTGCGTATTGGTGGACCAAAGAATATGTTAACTTAACAGAACAACAATGAATTGAGCTAAAGTTTGGAAGCAGAATATCACAATCCTGACTGCTGGAATGGAACAGTGGTGTAGCACAGTCAAAATGGAATCGCTGGTGTTTAAAGTGGCAACTTAAGCAGTGCGCAGAATGATGTGAACGCCCGAGTCAGTGGTCACAGGCTCGCTGAGCTCCCCCACTTTCAGGGCAAATGCCGCCTGTTCAAATGGTCTCTGCATGGCGCCCCGCCCGAAGGGACCAAGGTCTCCGCCTCGACGGGCAGAACTGCAGTCCGAGAACTTCTGTGCCAGTTCGGCGAAGGAGGCCCGGCCAGAGACGATCTGCTCTCGGTAGGCTGCGGGTTTCAAGACACAATGCATATGAGCGAGGCTTCTCCATGCGCCTTCCATTATGCTACTTGAAGGGGGAAAACAATTTTTTTTTTTCAAAACATTTTTGCTCTGTAAAAGGGGAAGTGAGAAGAAAAACTATCTGACGATGCCAACGAACGTTACATTCTGTAAACCTGCTTGAAGTATGTCATGCATTCGCACCGATAATGAATGAAGAGTTACACTTACTCTTCACCAGGTCCAAAGCATCTTCTTTGGTGCGAGTTATTTCATCCTCCCGCCACGACGACGGTCGCCGAGAATTCTGATGCTTCACCAGTAGATGACTACACTGGACCTGGTCTGGTCCACCACTGGACACAGGCTCCGCTGGCTTTTCTGGACGATCCCACTGGCTCTCCTTTGTGTACACGTTCAGGTAATAGTGCTGACCTGTGTGGAAAATAAATTGAAATTTGATGTCTTCAAATTCTGAGGGCAGCATTGAAATGTACAGATGTCACTAGTAAACATGAATTGAAAGGTTGATAGCAGTTGCTGCATCAACTGGACTGTGTTTATGGCTTCAACCTGCTCTTATACTAATATTCTTTACTTCGGAATCAAATGTTACCAAGTTTCCTACAGACAGTTTTTAGAATGTACAGCATATGAAATATATGTATCCTTACATTCCATAATTGCCAGTAGTGAACTTTCTTATACCTCAAAAATTCACTACAGGTTGGTGAGAAAATTTAATTTTGGAAATGCTGTGCTATCGTCAGCAGACAGGCAAGCATTAGGCGTTCATGCATATTGTATTACAATGAAATGGTAATCTTATTTGTGGGTGTCAATGTTATTGAGGGCAGGTGAAAAATGTACTGTAATACATCATAAAACATTCATGCAGCTGGTGAATTCAGAGGACACAAAAGGAGAGGAGCATAAACACAACTGGTCAGATGATATCAGAAGGATGAATTATCCCCAGACAACTTCTGGAGTATCAAACATTGGCAACCATTAAACACGCTACTAGAAGGTTATAATTTTTCGACTGGAACATTTCATTTATTGGCCAAACTTTGTTATCAGAAAGGGAAGAAGAATGAGTTTCATATGAAAATTTCTGCTATTGAATTGCAAATATTTTCTTTAAAGGAGAATAATTATAACATACAATACTGCTCCAGAAAATAAACAAACAGAACAAGTATGTGAATTTGAATATTTACAAAATTTAATATCAGGTCAAGGAGGAAGATGAGCATCGGAGAGATGAGGAATTCATATGAAGTTCTGGTTGGAACCAAGTGCAAGGCATCGCCAGAGGTGAGGCGAGGTAGAATATGACATTATTACATGATTTGAGGAGTGGTCTGTATTACCCCCAACCCTCTAAAACGTACGAAGTCACAGAACAGTTACTTGTTTCTGCACTTTAAAAACTTTAAGCTCAAGTGGTAGCTATGTGTACCATCTACTTCAACATTAATTTACACTGGGTTTTCTGTAATTCTCGCAATGAACAGATTATTTTCTTGAACGACATCAACCAGTTGATCTCTGTAATGTAGAAGTGTTGCGATTTGAGGCACTGACTGAATATTTAAATAAGGTTCACGAGAGCCAGGCCTCAGAGCGTTAAAAGTGTGGGACGCTGGTAGCTGTTCAAATACGAAGGAACGCGATCAGCTGTTTTCTTCAAGACACGCCATTGTTTCATTTACGAATTACTTCAGTTTTTGTGGTCCAGAGTTCGAATATCGCCTCATTTGTTTTGGTTCACGTGTGCGACTTAGTTCAAGGTCACCTGTAATTTGTACTTCGCCATCCGCATCTCTTGTGAAGAATGCCCCAAAGACGACATACTGATTCGCATACTTATCATAAATTTGATGAAAAGAAATTTCTTGGAATGAAGAGGTCGCAAAGTTGGCCACGACAATTACCGAAATGTATGGATACGTTCAGAATCCAGCAGCTCGGTAATGTATCGTTTTTCTCGATCGTGGTAACCCCTTCCTATCGAAAAAGGCGCGAAAACCTGAAAATTAAGTCGAGGTAAACGACTGACATATAGCAACGGAACATACCTGTCTGCTGCGACAAAACAAATCCTGATAAAGTTTTACAGTATATTGCAACGCCACACCTGGGTGCGAATCATGGCATATTTGACTATTTTGGGGCAAATTAGCGCCGTAAAATTTTAAGGCAGACGTAACACCTTAGTAAGACAAACCAGAATAAATCCATTTAATATCTCTTATGTTTTCTATCATTGTAAATGAGAGAAAAACACAAAATAGCGTAGGTACATGTGTATCAGAAATGAAAATAAATCGCACCAGACATGATAACTGATGAGAATCGTCAGCAAGGGATTAAAAGCCATATTAAAGGCATTTTTTATCTGAGGAAATAGTCAGAACTGACAGCGTCGTTAAATAAGCCACTATTAATCACTTCAGCAAGGTCCCCATTTCACCTACTCAACGTAGTTGAACAGCTAAAGGAGAGATGGCGTAAGACGCGCTGGTCAACAGAACAAACCATGCTACACTTCATACAAAATTCAAATTTGAATTACGTGCTGCCCACTTTGTTTATGCAATACTTTCGACACATGCAAGGGTAATGTGATGTAACAGATCAGTTCGGATTAACTAACTTAACAAACAAATACCAAGCAAACCGTTGGCGGAATTCAGGATCTATTCAAATTGTTATCAAGCTACAAATTATTCCCCATACAGTACCATCTCCTGATGTATGGCTTCTGTCCCATACAAATACAGTAACCAGTTTTGTGCCTTATTACAAGTGTACATCGTGTATATTTGTTAGACCATGGCATTTACGTACTCAAACGTATTGATCCACTGGCCGCTACCGAAGAGAAATAATCGCTACAGCAAATTACAGGAATGAAAACAACAATTCATAACGATGTAACCCTATACAGTAAATATAAATTTCAAAGAAGGAATATAAGTTGAAGAAACACACCAGTAGACCTGCTTAAACGCTTTTCCCACCCAGACGGTAACTCTTCCTCCGCCATTGTTGAACCGGAAATCAACTGAATTAGCTTGCGAATGTTGTACGTAAAACGTGGAGATACCGAGAACGAAATTATTAATGAAACTCGATTCAGGTTTTGATCAACACCAAGATGTATGAAAGCACACTTTCTATTGGTGCTTTGGAGTTCCGAGGAACCGTGACGTAGGAACAAATACACCAATGAGATAAATCGTTTTAAAACTGTACCGCTGGGCGACTGAGTGGCGGAAAAGCTCACATCGGGAATGGAAGTATCAGCTGGCGGTTAGTTGTATTGGTGCGTTAGCACTTGCTGTGACATTGGCATTGTTTTTCGTTCACAAAGTGAAATTTTGTCAGCATCCTATCGATTGGACGTAAGTTCTTAAGATCTAAATTTTTTATTTGCATTTTAGCTTATATTTTGGTGTTGGTGGAATGATTTACACACGTATGATGTAAACAAAGTAGGGCAAGCAATTTTGACATTTGAGTGAGCTGACTACAACCAACATTTGTGTGGGTTTCAAAGGAGTGAGATCACTGTTTCGAGCATAGTTGCCTTTCTCTTGTTGCTGCTAGTTCCACTTTGATATTTGGTATGTAGAACCACGTCCAGCTGTATTTTAAACATAAATTCACACTGTAAAGTTTAAGTTTGTTACGTAGTGTTACACATAATTATTAAATGCGCCAACTGATTGATTCGTGAATGGCAACTAACACCAGTTATGGTTTAAAATGTAGAGGGGTCCTTTTCAACCGATTGCGACAAGTAACATTTTATTTGTAACAAATGGCCTGTACATAATTAAAGTTCATATAGGTGCCACATCATCTATTTTCATGGACGATATGACGGGAAAGTAGAGCAGTTACAAGATAAGAGATACCTATCTGATAAGGTGTGTGGAGATAGATACTCGTGTGTTGTACGTTTCAGTTCAGCTAATTGTTGATCCTTAAACATTGGCAACGGTAGTTATCAAATAATGACGACATAATTACGCGGATTGAAGCAAATTCGTGAAGTATAAATGGTATGTAGAGCGTGTATTACGTAGAACCCCCCGGAGGTATTCCAGTGGGATTAATCGACTGTAGTTCATTGTCGTTGTCACCGTCATAATCATGGTATAAGAACCACGCACAGACGCGTCTGCCGTTATATCCATTTTTGGCTGCCGTCTGAGTTTGCTTCGGCAGATTTTTGACGTCGTTTTGAATGGTCGTGGCAGATCGGTTATTTTTAGTTGTGGAGTGACGAAGTTATCACGCTAACCGCTGACTTGTCAGGCATGATCTCACCTTAATTACGTTTTTAAATTATACTTTGCATAGGTTATTTTCCCCAGTGGGTGTGGTCTTGTAACGTCAGCATGCAGTTTGTTCGATTCCCGCTCCATTTATGGTGGACAAAACAGGCGAGTCCAGTTGTTGGCGTGAAATGCGAAATTACGTCACCGTGCGAGGCCCGTGTTTGAACCCCAAAGGTCTCGTCGCGTGGGACAAGTTTTTGAGTTCGTTGGCCCACCCGGACTGTCCGACACCGTCCATCTTGAGCCAGATGAACCAGGTTCACACCCTTACATCTTGTTTCCCAGAGATCCATCCACACTTCGGTCTTCTGTGGTCCCTGTTCGCAACAGGTTCCCAACCAGAATTTTGCACTCATTTCGTGTCTCTCCCATGCATCACCAATCTCATCCTCCTTGATTTTTATTATCCTGAAAATGTACAGTGATGAGTAGAAATTATGAATCTCCTCAATATGCAGATTATCCATCGTTCTCACACTTCATCCCTCTTGGGTCCAGATATTCTTTTCAGAAGCTAGAAATCTAGATTTATTTGGTTTAGTACGAAGCATTCAGAGGGCATGCGTATTAATCAGCCGCTGAGGGAGGCTTTCCTCGGCCGAAATGCATCGCTTCGTAAGCGAGCATGCGCGTATTCTGACCGCACGCTATAAATTAACCAAATCGGTTAAATTTTCCGTAGAGTTCTTTCTATAAAATTTAATTTTGGTTTTAATTGGAGAACAATGAAATTTCTGAAGGGCAAAATTCATCTGTTTATGTACGTCTGTAAATATTTATTTGGAAGACCTGCCATTAAAGATAAAAATATTTGTATTTTTTTTATAAGAGTCGTAGTTTGTAATGGATCATCAAACACCAAAGAAGTTGTCATCAGTGTCTTATACGGGATGATCTTGTTATTTGAGATTTCTGTCAGTTTCAGTGCGTGATCGTTTGTTGTCGCTGTGAAGTTCTTGACTTCCTGACTAGTTTTACAGCCACTTGATTGTTGTCATGGATTCCTGTTTTCTTTGCGGTACAGATTTTAAATATCTGCGATAAGCAAACTAAACTCGTCCCGCGTGGGGTATTTGTTCGTGGTTGTGTGTTCTGTTCTGTAAATGTGTCCGATGAACAAACGTATATTGAGCTACGTAATTCCCTTCTCCCCTGTGTCTCTTTTCCTATTTTATGTCGCATTCTTTGTTTCTTGTCATTATATAAAGAGACGTGAATATGTTGCTTAGCTAAGCGACTGTCGGTTGTTTTACCTTTTGCCATGTAGGCTTCTGTGTGGATTTATTGTTTCTCCATTCTGGCTGCTTATTCGCCTATCGTTTTTCTTGTTTCGAGTGTCCGGATGTTCCCGAGTGAGGTCTTGTGGGTCGCGAAGTTGCCTGGTTTAAAAATACTTTTGATAAAAGTACCAGATCAACTCGTGCGCTTACATTTTTCAGCCAGCGTTTTGCTCTGCTTCTAAATTTCGCCTACCGCGGGCTCTTTTAGGCGAAAAGTAATTCCCTCTCTCGCTATTTTATATGATTTTGGAAAAAGGGACTAGTTCTGGAAAGTTGTAAGCACTTGCACTTCGAATTCTGGAGGTTCCGGCTTTAAATCTCGCCCCCCAGGGACAGACTGTATTCACCGTCGTCTTTCGATATTTTCATTGGCCCCGTAAGGCAGTACCAAAAATTATTACACTATCGCCTCCTTCCACATTCCTTCGAAGTCATTATTCATTAATCGAGTTTCGAGAATCCTTGCTTGAACTTCGCTTGGTGTTAAGGAAGATAATAATACAGTTTGTGCTGGTAAGGATGTGGAAGGAGGGGTTGATGGCTGATAATGTCCCAGCACTTCCGTGGAGGGACTGACGAAAACCACGAACCCTTCTTTAGGCCGAGATTTGAACCCAGAATATCCCGAATACGATACAGGACGCTTACAATTTACAGAATGGGTTCTGAGGACGATAAGTGACCCGGTGGGTAAGATAAATCTTCCGGTTGCTAAGCAACTTGTGTTTGGGGCACCTGTGACGAAGCCGGCGCTGATGTAACCGGTGTCAGGTGTGAATTGTGGCCTCCATGTGTTACTCAGAGCAGCCATTGTGGGCTGGTCGCGATGACTCAGTGCGTTGTTGCCACCCGAGCGCTGTTCGCTTTGAAGGTAACAAACAAACAGCCTTCGCGAGATGTAATTGTCCTGTTCGTTTAACCCACATTCCTTGCTTTAAACGGGCAGACGCAGGCCTGTGGTATTATGTCTGTGCAAACCGACGTTTCAGAAGTGCTTGCAGCCTGTTTCGTCCGGGTGAACCTAGAAGACAGGAATCTTTTGTTATCGTCAGGAATATTGTACCATTGCAGTCTACCAGAAAATACTAGCCCTTATAATGGAAACAGCAAGGTCCAGGTCACGTGGCATTGCTACATCCCAGAATCCAGCCGTCTTCATTCTCGTCGTGGGGATTATGACGGCGAAAGTCTCGTGAGACGTGAGACCCTGAGAGGCGCCAGGCCGGGTCCGAGGATGCCTTGAGGCCGATATGGCTTGTCCTGAGCGACGTTTCGCCACTCACTGGGTCATTGCCATCTAACTCACGTCCGATCAACCTGTTTCAGTGACGGACTCCGTGGAGCAGAGCAGTTCTTGAGAAGGCTTAAACCAGTCAAGAAATTCCCCGCCTTTTATGGAACGCGACGGTCTGTTACTGTGCTCGTTACAGCTCGTCATAAATCCCTTTCCTGAGTTAGGTTAATTCAGTACGAAACCTCATATTATATTTCTTTGAGTCTTTTCCCCCCACAATTAATGTTGTATGCACTTCAAATGATTAGAGTGTTTTTTTAGTGTAATGTCTTCGTACCTGATTACATGTTTCGTAGATTTTCGCCTCTCCTTCGCAAGGTTCACGCGGCCATCTTGCGCAGATATTGCGCCTATCCGAAGTTCTCTGTTAAGTCCTGGACTTATTAGACGTAAGTCATCAGAACAAAACCTGTTTTCTCTACACTCGTTAATTAGTTCATGATTCACTCCGCATTAACGTTTCGCGAGCAGACATTTTAGCATTATCCCCCCATTTCACGTTTCGCTTTCTTCTTCTTTTTTTGTTTTGTTTTGCAAATGAGAGTTTTCAGACTTTTCAGCATTGTTCGTCGATATCAGGCTGTTATATCGATTAATATGTCGATCTACAGTTCCTTCACCTTGACAACGGGAAGCGCCAATCAAATTTACGGTCTTGCGGACTTGCCCCCCCAAAAATGTAATCCGCCATTCTGGTTTTGTTCCTGTGGACCCCCGGCAGTTCACCCAAGGCCCGCCGCCCAGAATGTGACTGACAACGAGGCGGTGTTCCCGGTCGAACCACGTGTCAACATGCCTCACCCCTTCCGGCCTCGGATGGTACATCAACGCCCCTCCGTAAATAAGTTTCATTTTCTGCCCCAGCACGAGACGGAAAGCCGTTACCTCTGCCGGGATCCATCCCCGGTCGCCCAGTCAGTGGACGCCTGTAGTCCTTCGCTCACTGTGACCACGCGGAGCTGACATTCACACGATAATGTCGTGATAATTCGGCTGGCGTCACTCGGTGCTGTGGGGGCCGGATTAGTCATTGGCGAAGATTGTGTGCAAGTGACACCGCGAGGTGCTGTATCAACTGCAGAAGACCGCTGTTGGCAGGTCGCTGCAGAGCAGGGAGGGACCAAGATAATGTGTCCAAACCGTGTGATTTTGCTGTTGGACTTCATTTACTCTTTTCCTCCGTTAACGACTCATTTCACCCTAAAAATATCAGTGGTAATTATATTTACCACCTTATTTAACATTCAGTTGCTCTTAATTTCATATTTACGTGTTTCGTAATATTCTCAGAATAAACAGCGATGATATCCTTAAACAGCGTTAACCAGTTGATTTTCGTAATGGTGAAGAGTTGTGTTTTCTTCGCGGTACGGACTGGATTATTTAATATTAATCAGACGAACTGCGATTCTCACTGTAAACAGCGATTATTTCCTTAAACAGCGTTAACCAGTTGATTTTCGTAATGGTGAAGAGATGTGTTTTCTTCGCGGTACGGACTGGATTCTTAAATATTATTCAGACGAGCTTCGGGCTTCAGAGAGTTACTTCTGAATTCTGACTTAAGGCAGCCTGGTGCAGGACGCGTGGTGGAGATGAGAAATTTGTGCAGAATTTTTGTTGAAATGCCTGATGGGAAAAGTCCAGTCGGAAGACTTGGGCGTAGAGGAGAATATCAAATGTTCCTTAATAAAATTTGGAGTAACTTCTCTGTAGGCCCTTCATGCACCATCTGGGGCGCTTGTTTGGTAAACAAGCCCAGATTCCTTTCCAGGGACGGGGGAGGGGGTGGCCGCCGTATTGATCTGAACAGGGCGCATCGAGGCTCCAGCGGACCGAGCCAGCATCGTCACATGTGCTGGCGACCTGGTGGTGACACGACGGCCTTGTCTGAGTGCGAGAGATCACGCACATCTGCTTCTTTTGTTTTCACATAAATGTCCGTGCGTTTGTCATGCAGTGAACTAGAATATGACCTGCTATTCGTGATAAAGAAATGTGGTAAAAAGATTTTGTAGCGGGTGAATGTGATCAAGATTTTTGTCTGGATCTCCTAAATTAAGTTTTAAGTTGTAGAAGAGCTTGGGGTTTGGCGCTGTGTTATTACACATTTGTATTTCAGTCAACTATAACTGCCTTGTTGTGTCTTGTGTCATAGTGTGGGGGATTTTGGCCGTAGTAAGAAATGTTTCTTCCGCTTAAACTGCGTTAAAACGCTTAGAGAATTGACGCAAACATATCTCACTTAAAACGTTTCGTTATGTCACGTGTACGGAATTTAAAATTGGGTTAGACGTAACATGGAATTCCATTCTTGTTTATGCCCCGTGTGCATGAAGAAGCACGATTGTGTCGACTGTCACATTCCTCGACATTTGTTGCAGTCAGCAAAATCCGCGATGCGTGCCTCGGCAAATGGCGGCCCTGAAACTGCCCGCTTTTCCTTGCGAAATGGAATTTCAAAGTCTAACGGATGTAATTGGGGCTTTCACTGGTAGAAGATTTGTTGTGACGTATTAAAAATATTCCGTTAACACAGCGAAAATCATTGAACCTCGACGTTAAGTTTTAAATAAAACAACAATTGCTTTGACATAAACAATGGGAGCCGTGGGGAAATTCGGTGTCTAGCTTCAGTAGACGCGATTGTTGAATGGTCTCGTCTCATTTTCTAGTGTCTCTGTCGCTGTAAATGCGCTGCTTGTCAAGGGCGCACTGGGCCCCGGGTATATCGGCTCGACCTGCACTGTTATTACGAAGACCGGCCACGCAGGCCTTCGCTCGACATTCGTCTTCTTACATAAAAGTGAAATTGCGTGTGTTCACTGTTAGCGCGAGAACGGATGCACCAGCTTTCCCTCGACGTGGCGTGATTATTTCTTGAAAACGAGAGAGATTCCGAAAATAAGTTAGACAGAAAAAAGTTATTCGTTTCAACTAAGAGATTTCAGGAATCAGGGTTACAAACCCCAAAACTGTCCTTGGTTGGTTCAAGTCTCGACGAAGATTTTGGGTTTAGGGATAATAATTTGTACCTACGAAATTCAACAATGGTGTCTACCGAATGATCAGGCTTGTGGTAGGCTTTAGGGCAGTAAAGGTTTGATAAAGAGGAAGGCAGTTCTTCGTTGCATTGTTGGAAATGATTGTTGCAGATCGAATCAGAACTAAATTTCACTCTTTTAGTTATTTGTGGTTTATTTAACGACGCCGTTAGTATCTGAGACGTGTGATAAAGAGGGAACTGCTGTTTATTTCTGTTCATTGTTTGACGATGCGTAGTAAATGCACTCTATTGTTGTATTGCGGATAACAATTGTCTTATATCTCAAATGTGTCTGTTCAAGTCGAGGCTTTTTTATGACCCGCGCCTAAAAATGCAGACCTTCTGCTGTGTAAAACTGGCAGTGGTCAACTAA